CGGAGAGGTCAAGAAGGCGGTGGTGCACGCGGTCAAGACTGGCTAGTGAGTGCGCTCGAAAGACCCTCCCCGTATGCGCATGCTCTAACCATTCTGCGGCGTGTATCAGCCGCCACCTGGATCTTGCCAAGATCTACCAAAATCAGCACGAAGTTGGAGAGGCGTTGAAAGAGCTGATCCCATCGGTCGTCAAGCGCGAAGATCTCTTCATCACTTCCAAGTTGTGGAACAATGTTCACAAGCCTCACCTCATCGAGGCGGGTCTGGACGACACGCTGAAAGAGTTGGGTACAGACTATTTGGATCTCTACCTCATTCATTGGCCCGTCCCTCTAGACTCTGGCGACGACGTGACCAACTTGCTTCCCAAGGGTGAGGAAAAGAACAGCAAGGGCGACGCATTCGCCAAGTTGGATCTCAAGACGACATTGGTAGACACTTGGAAAGGCTTGATCGACTTGCAAAAGAAGGGCAAAGTCAAGTCGATTGGAGTTTCCAACTTTATCCCTTCTCACATCGAAGGTATCATCAAAGCCACCGGTGTTGTGCCAGCAGCGAATCAGATTGAGCTGCACCCCTTGTTGCCTCAAAAGGATCTGGTAGAGTACTCCAAGATCAAGGGTATTCACGTCACTGCATACTCGCCATTCGGTAATCCTGGTGGATACGGCAAGAATGGAGTCGACATTTTGGGATCGAAACAGGTGCAAAAGGTGGCCAAGGAACATGGTGTGGATGCTGGACAGGTGTTGCTCGCCTGGGGCATTCAACGCGGCTACTCCGTCATTCCCAAGAGCGTCAATCCGTCTCGCATCGAAAAGTGAGTCGCGCATCGAATCTTTCTGGTAATGGCACTGGCCCCCCTCCCCAAGAGCGAAAACTTACCCTACCGCGACTCCAAATCACGCCCGCTCGTTTTCTTGCAATTATTAGCAACTTTAAGCAGATTAAGCTCAGCCAAGAGCAATTCGAGGAGGTTTCGAGCTTGATTCAAGAGCATGGTCATGCGCGATTCAACATTCCCATCGACTACCCTTGGAACATCAACGTGTTCAACGAGGACAGCGAGTTCAAGGCAAAGCACGAGGTCAACATTGGCGCTTGATTGCTCTTCTTTTTCCAAAAGCGAAAAAAAAAAAGCTCTTTTGCCTTTTTTGCTTTTGCCCTAATCTGCTGTCCACCTCGACTCTTTTTTTTTTCGTCTGCTATTCTCCAAAAAGCCAGCGGCAGAAGCGAGCAATCACGATGTGGGAGATGATCGCTTGATTGAACAAAAGAAAATCAGACGCATTTGAGTCGCATCTGTGCGCGTGATGATCGTGCGTGCGTGCGTGCGTGTGTGGGTTCGTGCGTTTAGCCAAGGAAGATGATCAGAAAGTTGGCCTTTTTTTGACGTGTGTGCAAGTCTGCTCGGGCGCCCCGCCGCGCCCCGCCGCGCTGTTCATTCGTCTTTCTTTGCAAAGCTTTGACCATGCTTGAACTCTTTAGCAAGCGGAAACTTCACAGTCACTCTGTCCATCTTTTCTCGTTTGCCAGACGGGGCCGGGCCGGCCCGGCCAGGGTCACGTGGGGGAGCGCGCACAGCATGCGCAGGAAAGGGAAGAAGGGGAGAAGAGAGAGGAAAGAAGAGAGAGAGGAAAAGGGGACTCTGATTAGCGGTATGTTGCAAGAGTTGCCAGATATCGAGCGGGAGCGGGAGGGTGCTTGGGCGTGCTGGGCGCGATGCGATGCGATGCGACGCGAACATTCGATGTGAATGTGAGGGGGGGGGGGGGGGGGG